CCAGGACCGCGCGAGTGGCAAACGCTCCACTTGTCACTACACCATCTCCGCCTCACTACAACACCTTCGCCTCTTTGGAGTAGGAAACGGCTACTTCAAAGTAAACGGCAAATTTTAGAAATAGTATGGAAGCTTCAGAGGTGCGAGTTGGATGGATGACCTTTTGTAGTCGCATGAATAATAAGAGTAGAACAAGGAAATGCGGCTCACAGTAACAACTTGACATTTCACTTGGGCTGTTATTGTACTACATGGTTGCTGCGACTTTTTGTTGTCTTCAGAGCGGTGTCTGTATGCCAACATGAACAGATCTTAATGGGTGGCTTCAGCAGGGACCCCGAAATCGCGAGTGGTGCAGGATTCGTGCCCACACAATATCATGTTTTGTGTCTGGTGGGAATTGAGAGGTGATTCACTGGCAAACGCTGCAAAATAGTCAGGCAGTGAACCATCTCTTGTGGCTGGTCGTCCAACCGCATCCAGTTTGCTGGGCTCTGCAGAAGCCCGATAGACGGGAAAATGCCAGTGACATGCGAGGCGTGTGTCCAGGCAAGCGAAAATGGAACAGAATGAAAATGAAGGAGAACATCATACCGAGGCAAAGCTGAAAAGTGTCATATCAGAAGTCACGCTGCCATGTGCCTCTGTTGCGTTTAGATGTATACCACTACCTCCTCTAGGTAAGGGACTTCGCCGCGCGTCAATTTGTTGTCAACCCACCGAACCCACATCGCTGTACGCGACAGAGTGCTCAGCTTTTTCGAGAAGATACCTAGTAGCTTTCATAGATTAAGAAGTCTCTTTCTCCATTCGGTATGGTTTTACGGGGAGACGGGAAAGGCAATCGCAAATTGTCGCGTTGTTGCGTGCGGCGATGCCTCATTGAGTGAGATTGGAGCAGCGAAAATCATGAGAGTTTAGTAGGAGAAAGACTCCATGACAGGCGATTTCAAAAAGTCGTGTTTTAGCACTCGAACTCAAACAGCTCGAAAACAAACAGGACAACTCGTTTCTCTGGGCGCAGCATCGCGCGCCTCGCCCCCTCCTCCCCCCTCTCCTCGGGGCGGCATCTGACGATTGTTTTGTCAGATATACGGCTTTATGTCCTGCTATTCAGCCTTTGAAAGGGAACAGTGTTTTCGTGAAAAGTGCTTTTATTGAGTGACATCAAGGTTCCTTCAATTTTTTTGTCTGCCCGAATTACCGCTCATAATTGCCATGTCATCAAATGGTTCCTGCTTTTCTCTGAATCCTAATGAGAGGAAAACACTGTGAAAGTGTCCGAGGGCCGAAAACACCCAACCATTTGATTATCTCCAATTTATTTAGTTGTACCTGCTTCTAGATCTGGGACACAGCTGGACAGGAGCGTTTCCAATCTTTGGGTGTTGCCTTCTACCGTGGAGCTGATTGTTGTGTGTTGGCTTTTGACGTAACCAGTGCGTCATCTTTCAAAAGTTTAGATTCATGGCGAGACGAATTCCTTATTCAAGCTTGGTTAGTTTGAAAATGTTAAGAAAATGTTACTGTTGTTGTTAATGCCATGCTCTTCAATTCTAATTATGATTTGGTTTTTTAGCCCACGTGATCCGGAGAACTTTCCTTTCGTACTGCTTGGAAATAAAGTGGACCTAGAAGCACAACGAGCTGTTAGTTCGAAGCGGGCGCAAACGTGGTGTCAGTCAAAAAACAACATTCCATACTATGAGGTATGATAACAAGGCGCTTAATTATCAAATTCATTTTTTTCTGTTTTTCCTGTTTTTTGTTTTTCGAGGTCTACAAGAAAGTAGCTGAAGTATTGCTTCAGGTGTCTGCAAAAGAGGCTGTTAACGTAGAGGCTGCTTTCCAAGCAATTGCACGCGATGCGCTTGCCAGAGAGGCTCAGGTTAGTGATTTCTTCTACAGTAGTTATTTTTTACTGGTTTTTTTAGGCGAAGGGGCACTGGTGAGTGCCATTCATGAAATATTCAAGGCAGCTTTCCTTACATTTCCGACGAAGTTTGCCCAGTAGACATCTTAATTGTTGAACTGTAATGAGGGGAAAATGAATCAGGGGAGTGTGGTCTTCAGTTTCCTCCACTCATCCATGAAATTCGTCCCTTTTTCTCACCGCAAACATTTAGTTAAGGAGTCATATTGTTGGAATCCAAAAAGCACGCATGGCGTTCCTTCGATGTTCAGACTCCTTCTATAGGCAAGATAGTAGGTTCGCGGAGCAGCGAAGGTTTACTACTTCCGAAGCTCAAAAAGGCGGGAAGAAAGTGCGACCCACGGCGAAGCTGGCCCAGCCTTTTGCCCAATGCAACACCCAATTTTCATTTTTAAAGGCTTTCTGGTGTGCCGTTGTTTTATTACTGCTGAATGGTGAGGTGAGGTAGTGAGGCTAGAAAGCTGACGTCAATAAATGAGAGAATGAGTGAGTCGTCCGAAGATGCTCTTTCTTCGCCCGATGCACATACAAGTACGGTTAAGCTTGGGATTGCATCTCAGACGGGTCTGGAATCGAAATAAAAAGAAAAAAGTTTTATCATATCCTTTAGTACTTTTTGATCATGTAGAGCGTTGATTTCGTTCATTTTTCATTTCGAGGTAGCCAGTTTATGAGATTTGGATCTCTGCCGTATACCATTCATAAACCGTCAGTCAAGTTAGACTTTCTTGGTCAATTTTTTTTTCGCCGCAAAGTAGATAGTAAAGAATGAGAAGGCCACTGTTTTGAGCATATAGGCATTATGGTACTTGATTTTTTTTTATTTTTTCTTTGCTTTTCTCCCACAAGTTCATTTCCTGAGAGTGCGACTGCTGCTGAACTTTCTGATGAAAAGAAGTCCATCAAACTCCCCATCAAATTGTCCACAAAGGTTGCGAAGATTTTGCTGCATGGCGAAAATGTTTACTTTACTGTCAACTGTCGTTTGCTGCATTGTGAGAGTTCTTACTAGAGCAAACATTTGGTGAGCAAAGGTTACTTAACTTCTTTTGTCAGTTCAAAGAAAACCCCAATGCCTTGTTCTTTTCAGCAGCCTTTGCTTGAAACCTGTCGAAGGATGATTTCTGCTTCTCCCTCCCCTCGAAATTTGAAGAGATACCTGTTTGTATCGATAAAGTTTGGAATTCTAGTTACAATTGTGGATATCATATAAGATGTAGTCTTAATCGGGCAAGCGAGTTGTAATGGACCTACAGTTCTGGAAAACAGAACTGATTTGTGAGTGGGTATTCTCTAATGATCAGGTCGAGAGGGTTAGGACGGAGGTATATGACAACAGAATCGTGATTTGCTGGTGGCCGTCGCGTGTAACGTCGCGCCCCAAAATGCTGGTGGTTCCGGGGAGTAGATGGCGACAACAGGCAATCCAGAATTTAAAATACTCATGATGTGCACGATGACGGGGTCTACATGAAATCCTGTGCTCCAGTCGACAGGTTAACACCAGTTAAGAAAACGCTGCGCGCGGCGGAGCGGCAAACTACGATTCTCTTGCCCGTCTCTTACGTGGAAGGCGTGGCCGAGGAGCAGAGAGCTTGGCGGAGACGCTGCCCGCCAAATCGCATTTTTTACGTCGTGCATTCCGGACTTACCTGTTCAGTCAGAGCAGACACAGCCCGGCATGGAATAATGAGCCTTGTAGCCCACTGGAATGACGACTGACCTATTCCATCGGATTATTCGAAACAACGCACCGTAATTACAGGCAATGTCTTTTGTTAGAAAAAAAAACAATCACATTATTAGAAAACCCTCGGCTTGAGAAAGTTGCAAGAACCGTGCGAATTACGTTGAGCAGGAGTTTGAATTTATCCCTTGCTTTCACATAGTAGTGGAACTGTGAAGGCGGGGGGGGGGGGGGGGGGAGGAAGGAAGAAGAGGGTGAGCTATGACAATTTCTGAACCCTTTTTCCTAAATTTTTTTGATCTCTCGGACTCTTAGGGAGGGATCAATGTTGCTTGAGTGTTCTTCACATCCTCGTACCAACCAGTAGATTCTTTTAGCAGCTTCGTTTGGGATTACATGCCATTAACTAAATTGTGTTTCTCATATTCGTTGTTTTTACTTTCATTTTTTGCTCTGAGAAGCCAACCATGACAGAAGTCCACTCGAGTCCATTGTAGTTCTCTCAGGATGAAGAGGCGTGTCAGGCGGTATGAGTGTGCCGCGCGCCAAACCCAC